TCTGGCTATATCTCGCTCTTGAGGTGGTGATTATCCTCCATATTCCCCTTTGACATCGCTCCCAGCTGCCCTTTCCCTGTTGCAGCTGCCCAAACAATCACATAACACTGTTTTTCCCTGCAGTCACCCACTTTTCCTCGCTGCCGCCCTCCCGGGCAGCCATCCTTCGGCTTTCCAGCTGTCCAGCAGTCCGCTGTCATCCTGCGTGCTGCAGCAGCCTCGAACAGTCTTCCGGTTGCTGTTTTCTGCATTTCTAATCGTCGTCATCACCCTCCCTACAGTTCCAGCCCCCCTCCTTCACTGACACCACTGTTCCATCCATTGCCCTCACTGTTTTGGCTGTTGTCTAGCCATCCGTTACAGCTGCCGCAACCCAAAAATCCCTCACCTTTCTGTTTTACCGTTATCCTAACATCCTATATTACCACCGTATCCCTAGAAACCCCTCACCTTACTGTTTTACCATTGCCAGGCCATTCTACCTGCTTGCTGCTACCTAGAACAGCAAGAACCTACTGTTACACCGTTGCATCCGCCATCTGCTCCACTTCGCGACTTTTCCACCATCTTTCCAATCCCCTAACAGTCACCACCACTATCTTCGATTCACCCTAGTTGCGTTTTATGTGTTGTGTGTGTTGTTATTTCCCCCTTTAGTGTGTTGGTTGTAAATACCTATTGGTTTTTTAGTAATAATATATATTTTTTATTTATTGTTATTTTTGGGTTAACTCCAATATTATTTGGTATCAGAGCTAACCTAACCCTAGTATTGTCCTAAGATTTCTAGCATCCATCAATACTCAATCCTCCCCTCCATCCTTCTATTTGCTGATTTTTAAATCCGGCTACCCAAAAAATTTCCTTCCCACCCTACATATCTATAGACACCCTCTTCCACTTTCCAAAAGCCAAACCCCAACCACGCACCAAAGTGATAATTGTCGAAGACAATGTCATATTGTCGTTTATGAGAAACCTGCAAAGAGATATACACGAATTTTCTATGACAGTCCTCAAACTACAATAGAGGCTTGCGACCTTCAAGGAGAAAATCCGAAAATGTCATCCGTAGCCACATTAGTGACTTGCTAGATGGATGGATCGGAGTGAATCTCTTCCATCATGCAGATTCCAGGAATGAAAAAAAAGTTATATCCCAAAGATTTGACTTGAAATATCAGAGAGACCTGGATTTGGAAGTAAAGTAGGATTTGGAAGTAAAGTATCACTTTCAACAGAACCGACCTGACGCCGTACTACGAGGAGAAAGAAGTTTTAATGGATTAGATCAAAGCTTTCCGAACCTCGGGAGACTAATGGGGAAGCATTTACCATTTACGAGCGAGGCGTGGGAGCGTCTCCCGCTTCTGATGCGGGATGCATGCGGGGGGACTTCTCGCGATTCTAGTGCATGGATTGGTTGGTCCAGGCAATGGGAAAACAGATCAGCTACTCCTTCTAGGTTTGGTGCCTCCTTTCAACGTAGGCCTAATCCTAATTATCTAGGGCATATCTATTTGCTTCCCGTGGTTTGGTTTTCAATTTTTCTGTGTTTTGGAATGGGACAACCGTCATTATCTCTTTTTTCTTTTGAGGGTCGAATCTAAGGGTTCGAGTGACGTTCCAATTGTATTTTGTTCACGAAGTGGTGATTATCATCCCTATTCCCTTCCAGCATCCTCCCCACATCACTCTCGACTGCCTTTTTCCTGTTCCAACCTTCCAATCATCCACATACCGCTGTTTTTCTTTGCAGTCTCCAAAATGTCTCGGACGCTGCAGTTGTCCTAATCAGCCTTCTGGTTGCTGTTTTTTGCAGTTCCAATCGTCGCCATCGTCTTCCCCCTGCACCCCACCTTGATCCCCCTCTTCATTGCCATCACAGTTCTGACCCTCCACCTTCACTTCCACCACTATTCTATCCCTCACTCTGCTAATTTGGCCATCGTCCAACCATCCACTATAGTTGCCGCCACTCAGAAATCACTCGCCTTGCTAATTTAGTCATCGTCCAACCATCCCACATCGCTGCCACCACCCAAACCCCTTCACCTTGCTGTTTTACTGTTGCCCGACCATTTTACCTACTTGCTGTTGCCCATGATAGCAAGCAATTGTTGTTCCTCTGCTCCATCCGCCCCTTCGCCCAAATGAAATTATTAAGTTTTTATGTTTCTATTTTTGGTCGAGCCCTAATCTACGCACGCGAACCCCCCTTCTTTGCACGGGAGAGCTTCTTCTTCTTTTGCATGCGTGATCCGCCTCGCACGTCTTCTTCCTTCCTCTGCCTTTTGCCGTGGCTCGACGCAGCAAAACAACGTTGCGATCTTCATCCCTCAAGCACAATATACGAGACTGCTGTATTGTTTCCTCGGGTAAGAAAACATGCAACACCTCTCCTTCCTCTACTCTCTGACTGCACACACCAGAGCTCCCACCTCGCACCCTGATTTATAGGGGTGAGCTCGTATCTTTGGCTTTCGACCTCCTCACTTCCTCTCCACTTTGTTTGGTTCCCTGACTCACTTCTTTTTCGGTTCTTCGTTTCTTTTACTCCGAATAAATGAAACGAGACGTCACACTAAGAGTCAATCATGATGAATTGAAGTCCAAGCTTGATGTACAATATATACATTCCAACTTGAGGGAGAGTGTAGGAAAGTGACAATCAACATTCCTGATTAGGAAGGAATTTGTTTTTTCTTTAGAATGAATTGTACTAATTGTGTTCATGTTTTTTATTTTTTTCTATTTTTCTTATTTTACCATTTGGAGAGATCCCTATTTGATTCCTTTCACTATCATATATATAGTAACGTTATTCCTATATTTCTACAATCATCGACAATTAGGTGCAAGGTAACCTATTTATTTCTCATGGAATTTCTGGTCCCTTTATATTCTCCCAGAGGGCTTACACATTGCCAAGGTTGATGTCCTTTTAATGGCTTTTCATTGTTTCTAATCTCCAGCATGATCTCTCCCTTTCTAAAATTATGTAGACAAATTGTCAGGGCCCATGAAGATCTTTCCCCCAAATTGACTTGAGACATAACATAGTTGGCACGCTTTAGTTGATTGAATGTATCTCTAACATCCATTCCGGCACCTTACCATAGTAGAGCAGGTGGTAAACTGAAATCACCAAATGCACCCGGAATGAAATAACACATTACTCCAATTTACATAAATATGGTAGAATCAAATCATTCAAACTAGGTGGAAGCAATCTAAATATTTTATTTATACATATCTAGATGGATTAATACTCATCAAGTTTCTTATTGCAAATCTTGAATTTCATTTGACACATTATCTCAAATCTTTTTAATTTTATGATGGCTGCACAACAAAATTTTATTATAGAATTGAATCTGATTGATACACAATCTCAACCTTATCTCAACCTTATATTTTTCTTTCAAAAAAAAAAAAAATCATTATAATGTTGTGAGCCACGCTATTCAATTAGATAAATAAGTTTAATAGAGAGCACATATACCAATAGCATAAACAGTATATTTGTTAATCATGGTTGGACATAATCCGTATAATTGAATAACATATTACCATAACAATTAAAGTTATAATTTGATTATATAAATATTAACATCAAAATAATTTTGCAAAGAAATAGCGACAAAATTTCAGATGTAAATTTTCTCAGTATGTTATGTCAGTCAAAGATCTAATTACTCACACATTAATTTAATTATATCAAATCATTCTTTTATTTTTGTTTTTACTAGCCTTTCCCTTTCTTTCTAATCCTCATCTTCCTAATTTCATTGATCCATGCTGTTTCCATTCCCTCCTTTCTTCTGGGTAAAATCTTTCTTTCTCTCTTGCTTGATTTAGTTGCCATAATTTTATTTCTATTTGTGAACTCGGTCTCACTGTCTATGGTTACCACCACCAGCATTGAGCATCTTATTTCTCTTTTATACCAACTGGCAACTGTTTTGACACTTCTTTCAGTTTTCCACTGTGGTTTTAGAGGGATCTAAATGAAATATTTTTTGGGGCATTTACATATGTACCGTTTACTTTCTATGTATTTACACATGTAAAACCTAAACTTTGCTTTTTTACATTTTTACCACCCAAATCTTTCATATCACATAAAAAATGCCACCATTTTAACTCTTAAAAAATGAAATACACCTTTTCATGCTTAGGTAAGGTGGTATGTATGTAAAAAGTTTAAGTTTAGGTGCTAGATATGTAAATACATTGGAATTGAGTGGTATTTATGTAAATCTTCCATATTTTTGGTACACATTAACGTTATCCAACCAATCTGGTGCTTTTACGGTTGCTTAAAGATTTGTTTTATACAGCGCTAAATAGGGAATAATTGAGTGATATGTAAAATCATCTTTATGTTTTCAACTTATTTTTCGTTTTTCTAAATTTGTAATTTTTGTTTTGTTTATTCAGATGCTTAACTTTCTGCAGAGTTGAAATATTTTTCCCTCAAAAAATAACTTTCAGCTAAATGATTCTTCTTCTTCTTTTTCTTCTTCTTCTTCTTATTATTATTATTATTATCATTATCATTCTCTATTATTTAATTAAGAGTGTTCATGTGCTCTTTATTGTTCGAAAGCGTACAACTCGTGTTATTTGTAAATGAATTTGGAAGATGCTTGTGTACAAACTTGCCATTTACGTACATACCACACAATTCTTATATATATACATGTCTAACACCCAAACATTATATTTACATGTATATCACTCAAATCTTTAATATCACATTTTAAATGTAAATATGAAAGTTTTGGTGTTATTTTTGTAAATACATAAGAATTTTGTGGTATGTATCATGATATGTAAATTTCGGTTTAATGTATATGGGATGCTTGCTACTTAGCCATCTCTTCCTTGATTAAGGATTGTTGATGTAGAGCTGGATCCAGTTTTCCTATGCCATCTGCTGTCCTCTTATAATTCACATGACATTTGATTGACCCCCCTTTTTTTTTTCTTTCCAGTGTGTGACTGCCATTGGGTTTGAACTTACGCGGGTGACCTTGGTTAACATCATGGGAGAGGTAGAGCCTCTCTTCTTATATTAGTGATAAATTTCCTTACTAGATTTTGTTTTTTAAATATTTTTAAATGAATTTTATCATGCATATCTGACATTTGATGCGAAAACAGAAGAAGCAAAAACACTCAAAATCAGTTCGATAAACCATTATTCTTTAAACAATTAAGAATAAAAATAAAGAATAGACAACAACTCAGATGAAAACTTAATGGAGCTCTGCGAGGAATAACATTTAGAAAATCAAGAACATGAAAACAGATGCTTTGATATTCACCACATTATTGAAAACCAAATCATAACAATTTGATAAACTCAATCATGCTTTCCAATTCAAAAAAAAAAAATTAGAAAAAGAAAACAATAGAAAGAAAAGAATAACCAAAAGAAAATAATTACCTTGCTTTTACAAAGTGATGATTTCTGTTGGAGTTCTTCAAAATTTTTTACTTGAACATGGAATTGAATCATTTAAATAGGTGTACCTCAAGAGTTTTTTAGCTCTAGCGGTAGAAAAGATTAGAGTGGGTCGTCTTAGATAGTTTGGTCACATTAGATATCGTCCATCTGATGATCCGGCTAGCAGAGTAGTGTTTTAGATGTGCTTATGTTAAGAAAGACAGATATGAACCTAAAAAGATTTGAGTATATTGTATAAAACATGATCTTAATTTATTACAGTTAAATGAAAATATGATACTCAATAGGACAAAATGGAGAAAAAGGATTCATGTAACTGACCCCACTTAGTGAGTTAAAGGCTTGCTGTTGTTGTATGGAATTGAATCATTTAAATAGGAATAATATTACATCCAATTAAAAATTTTATTCAACTATATTTTATTTTTATTTATGGGCCACATATTCTCTATTTGTAGACATAGATCCTAGCAAAAAAGTCCTTGATCACCGCCTGACGTTATGTTTCTTTTTTGGTTTCTTCTTGTTCCATTTGATTTAGACATTCAGAAATATATTAGTTTGTATACGATATGCGCGACTAGACAATTTAATATTACTATTAAAGAATTTTCTTGGATCAACTAATGCTTTTTTTAAGTTTTTTTTGTTACAGGTGGTTCTAGATGAACTCGTTAAGCCTTTGAATGCTATTGTCGACTATAATACTAGGTGTGTGTTGAAGTTAAAATCATTTCGTTTTAAATTTGTTTTTATTTCAAAAGAGTACTTGAATAGTGTGGTATGAAGTTGTTTAATTTTCAAATTTCCATTTTTGTTGCTGTTTAAACTGGAGTTCCAACCAATCTCTTATGAATTTATAATGTGATTTGCTCTTTTATGAAATTTTGTGCATTATCTCAAAACACAGTCAATTTCGTTTTATTATGAAGGACTTCAAACATATATTATATTATGTGGATTTGTGCGTGTATTGATATAGGAGGGTCTAGAATTTTAATTTTTAACACTGAGCTATTATTAAATCCTTGAAATCATGCAACGCTATGAAAAGTTTTACATGTTGGAAATAACATCTATTTGTTGCTTGTGACAAAACTAAAGAATATGAAGAACTTCGATGAAGATGATAATCAATAGTACGAAACAATGGTTATCATTATACCATGCAATTGGTTGAAAACAATGCATTCATGGATAAACCTAGATTGCTTCGAACATGAATCAATTCATTTACACTTTCTATACAATGACAAAAAGTATAGAAAAACCTAGATTGCTTCAAACATGAATCAATTCATTTACACTTTCTATACAATGACAAAAAGTATAGAAAATAAATAAAACAAGAGTAGAAAAATCATCGAATGCCTCTTACTTGGATAATCTGTCCCTAAAATGTTGTGTAAATGAGTATAGTCAAGCTCAAGTTATCTCTAAATTGAGCACAGCTCGATTATGAAATCGTTGGCTTAAACTTGAGTTCAAACAACGAGTTTAAGCTTGACTTGCCATAATAATGATGGTCTTGAGCTCAGCTCGTAAGCTCAAGCCAAAATAAAGAGAAGCTAAGAAGACTCAATAGGAACTCATGGGAGATTACATCAATGACATCGATGGCAGCTCGCTGAAGAAGGCATTATGACTGAGAAGATGAGATGGGAACTCAAGGGAGAAGGCATCGATTGGGCTGTCGGGAAGTTGCAACTTGTGCTCGTTAGAGAAACAATTGGATTGGTGGGTGAAGTCATTACTGGAGATTGCTGGAGAAGGTACTGACGGGATTGGTCAGTAAAGTCCACAATGAATGCTCACTCGACAAAAGCTTGGAGAACAAAATGAGTTCACGAGTTGGGAGTTGGATTAATGGCAAATTTAAATTGAACGAATGAGAAAAATGGAACAGGGAATGAGGAATTGAGCTGCTCGATGAACCGAAGAGTCAAAAGGTGAAGCTCAAGCTAAGATTCAAGCTATTATGTTGGACAAGCTCAAGCTCATGCTTTTCTTGAAAAGAAGATGAATTCGTGAGACAAGATTTGGGTAGTTGGTAAATTTATATTGAACGAAGGAAAAAAAATGGATCAGGGAATGAGGAATTGAACTGCTTGACTAGCCAAGCTGAGCCAAAATTGATTTTGAGCTTGTATAATATATGAGCTTGAATCTAATTTTGAGCTCGAGCTTTTGGCTTGGTAAGCTCAACTTTTGAGCTCATCAGTGAGTTAAGTTCAAGCTGGCTTGGCTCGCTTACACCAAGGTAAACTCCCACTAGATTAAGGAGTGAATTCTAGAAAGCAAAAGGAATACATATTCGACTAAAACGCTATTCATAATTATAGATTGTATCTTTGACGTGTCTCATGCCCTTATAATAAACTTTGGGATTACTTTTATCATTAATTAAGACCCATAACAATTGTAAGAAAGCTTTATTTTTCAATCTTAATAAATTCATGCATTAACATGTAGCCACAACTAGGGCTATGAAAATGGCTCGTTGTTCGCGAACAGCTCGTGTTCGGGTCATTTGCTAAGTTAATGAGCGAACAGGAACAAAGATCTGTTCGTTTGTGTTCGGTATATATATATATATATATATATATATATAAGGATGGTATATGGCTTCGTCTTCCTTCCCGCCTGACTCTGCTAGGGTTTCGCCTGATGGCGAACCCTAACTACTGTTACAACGACGTCTTTCCTGTTTCGCGTTGTCTTCCCTCGTCTTGCGATTTGCGGCGTGGCCTTCCCGTCTCGCGAGCTTTCTCGGCTCGGGAGTTCTTGGCTTCCTTTGCGGTGCTACTCTCTCTTGCTTTCCATCTCGAGGGTGCCTCTGCGGCTGTCTTCCGGTCTCGCGAGTTCTGCATCCCCTCTCGCGAACCCGTCTTGCGAGCAGCTCTCGCGGCTCCTTCCTGCTTGGCTCTGCGACTCCTCTGCAGTGCGGCTCCCGGTGTTCTCCTTTTCTGCTTCTTCAGTCTACGCTTCCTCCTCTGCATTGCGGCTCCTGGTGTTCTCCTTTTCAGCTTCTTTACGCCATTTTCCCTGTTTTCTTCTTAACGTCACACCTTTGTTTTGAGGATGACTTTTCCACCAACTGTTGACATTTTCCCAACTGTGGATTTTTTAAAAATCCACCAACTGTTGACATTTTCCCTGTGTTCTCCTTTTCTCTCTTCCGAGAACTAGAGGCAGAGGAAGAACTAAAGTGTGACGGCTCTAGCAGCTTTGCTCTGTTGGTGGATTTTTGATTTTTTATATTTATGTATCTTTGTTTATTTGGGTTTTTGTGTGTGTTGTATTGTGTGAGTTGAGCCTTCTTAGGTCATCTCATACAACTTATCTGTACCTTTTTTTCTTTAAATTGACTACAAGGCTACAAAGATTTATAATCAATTAAAAGTATTAATTAAGAAAATAAAATAATAATTATTAAATTAGCTTCAAACGATGTTTTAATATAATCAATAATTTTTAAAATTTACCCCAACCCTTAACATCTTATGGCTACGTGATTAGGATTGTCAAAACGACTCTTCCAGCTCGTGTTCGGCTCGCTAAGCAAACGAATCGAACACGAACACACTTTTTAAGCTTGAAATATAAACGAGCTGAACACGAGCAGAGCTTGGGCTCACTCATGTTCGGCTCGTTTACACCCCTAGCCACAACTTGCTTCTCAATTGGAACAACAATACCCATATGGTAGTCACCCTTGATTTCACATAGAATTGCTATCAGAGGAAGTGACCCGCATGATTGCAAGAAATCTCACATATAATTTTATTTGGAAGCAGATGCCACCAAATTGTCATTAGTTGGATTGAAACAGAAGGTAACCATACTTGCTGCGGTAGATTAACCATTATAGTGACAAACAAATTCCACCATCAAAATGAATAGATATAGGTGCGAAAAGAATCTTGGGAATTCCAATGAAAGGAGAACATAAACAATGAATACAATGAAATTCAATGAATGGTCATCAATACAAGCCATATTTTATATTAGAATAACATTATTGGCATGTTTTCTTAAAATTAATGGAAAAATAACATTAAAAATAAATCCATATTGAAATGTAAACTCCCACTAAAAAAAAGGACAGTTGGTGGATATAAAATTCATCTTCTAGATTGTTATTTTTACTGCATATAATTTGCATTTTCACTGCGATTGTGGTCTGCATTAGTTTTACCTGGCTTTAAAAGATTGAACTATCATAAACTATTTAGCTGGTATTTATCAAACAGATTTAGGAATAATTGTTGTACAAGTCTACAAGTCATCATATACAAGATTGTACCTCCAATGCATAAGATGCATTTGATATCCACTGTCAATAATTGGTATAATTTCCTAAATGATTATAATATTTGGTGCATGATTCATTATGCTAATTGCATAGGATGTTTTCTATGGAAATCCCAAAGTATACGAGAATAGAGGAGAATCTAATGTATTGTTGATGATTCATGATATAGAGTTAATTTTGATACCTTTAAATTGGATTAATGCCAAAACTTCTTATAATTTACAACTTACAAGCATTCATTTCTATTTGTTGTACGACTTTATATGATTCTTTTTTCCTTAAAGTTATTTTCTTATGATACGTATAGAAAGCATTTCAGTTTTAAATGAACTATTGTCTTTTTATTTATACTTCAGTTTCATTCACATTTGTAGTAGACCAAATATTCTCTTGTAAATTATGATCATGTCTTATAAATAATGCAATATGGTTTGATTCAAATTGTAATGTTAACATACTTTTATACTTCATAATGGATACAACATAACTACTTTGAGAAGAAATTTATTTTTAAAATTTACAATTTTTATCTATTAGATTTCATGAACATTTCTTTTGATAATTGTCAAACTAAACCATGAATGTTAAGTTATAGATTTACAATATAGCCCTTGTATTTTCATCGGTTTTTCCTTATTGAGGCTTGTAGCCTTGAGATACAAAAATTGCCATGATTTATAAAATGTGTCATTATATATATATATATATATATATATAATTTTTCTTTATATAACAAAAACTTCTGATTTAAAGTCTTAAAAGGGCAAAGTACATCAAAAGGTTTGTTCATAAATTTTTTTTTAAAATGCATCATTTTTTTCCATAGTACTGTTTTTAAAATACAACAGATGCAGAATTTTACTGTTTATCTTTGACTCATTCTCGTTGATTGTAAAAAACCTTCATCTTTACTCCCATTTACTTAAGGGATATTTTCCAAAAAAATTATTTATTTACTATAAAGTGATTTTAAAACTCATTGATTAAATATATTTCTAAATTATAGTAATTCAAGAAATAAAAGTTAATGCGCTTAGATTAAAAGTATTTCTTATTCTTAACCTCAAATGAGCTACATTTGTAACATTTATAGTGATAAAATAAAATAGCTATTATTTATTTACTTTTCTTCTCATATTTTAATTTTCTAATTTTTTATATAATATTGTTGTCACAGGAGCATCATCTAATTGTACCCTTAAATACTAACATTTTAATAACCTTTCCAAACATAACCTGTGAATGTAGGTAATTATTTTTTGCATGGATAAATGTGTCCCTAACTAGAGTCATAAGGGAGTAAATTTCGTCTTTCAATATACACATACAATCACTTTTAATTATCTCATTCTTTGAAACAATCACATCTTACTTACATTGCTTCTATTAGACAGACGTGCTCAACATTTTTTCTTAAAGATAATATATATTCTATTTAACAATATGAAGAGATTTATTGTAGAATGTATTTATTCTGTTACTTTCTACACAATATTTGTGGTAATGATATCCTCAAAGACACATTGAAGGGGCATAATAATTGATGTATTAAAACCTTTAAGAGAATTGTTTTTAATTGTTATAACTAGAAATGTCGTTACCGCCTCAATTTGTCACCTTTTTTTGTGATTGTTGCTCCCTTTAGTATAATACTTATATCAATATATTTTATCTTTCAAACTTCCTATTATATTTTTCTTTTTCTTCTATCTTTTTGCAGAAGTCCCAAACTTTCCTCATTAATTTCCTGCTATTCTCCTAACAAAAATTGTTTGTAAAACAAAAAAAACTAAAATTAGGGTTTTCCTAATTTGAGAAAATTAACAAAAGAAATTTAACTTAAGTATCATTATAAGTAGATAACTATCTGAAGATAGCATTTGAGCTTAAATTAAATCTAGGTTTTTCAATTCCAAAATAAAATTTAATAAAAAATTTCTTGAAGTAGGTAATGATGAAAAGCCTTTATTTTTGGATTAAAAAATCGGCAATCTAATCTAGCATTGCTCTATTTTGTGCAGTCAACCCTGTTTTTGGTCATATGCAGTTGACCCTTGCTTGGCTTGCTTGCAAAAACCCCCAGTCCGCCTGGCCGGTTGCTTGCTTGTTCTACTCGTTGCTCTATTGTGTTGCTCGCTCTATTTGTCTTGGTGTCTCTCACTCACTCTCTCTACTTTCTTTCTGGGCCGCTCGCTCCCTCTTTGTATCCGTGGCCCAAATCCTGTTCCGCTTATAAACTCTTGGTTAACTGATTAAGTGGTGCTACTTAACCAAATGCATTTGAGAGTGGTTTAGACATTTTTTTGTTAAGAATATACATATATTATTTATTATTTATATAATTTCATTTATTTTTTATATTTTAATTTGAATCATATGAATTAAATTTTGAGATTTATTTAATGAAACTAAATGTAGTTATTAATATTTCACAATTATATTACCTTTTTCACTTAATGCACTCTAGAATGATTTTCTGCTTTAAATAAGAATTTTAAATTTCTTTATTCTTGTAAGCATCTCTTTTATTAATGGTGCCTTGATTGGCGTTTTGTTTCAACACTTGATTTGGGTCTTTGTGCTGGGTATGATGATCAGATAAACTAAATCGTAGTTGACACTGCTTACTTTTCTCTAAAATTTTATTTATTTGTTAGATTTTAATTTAAAGCATATGAATGAAATTTTGAGGTATATTTAATGAAATTAAATGTGATTATTAATTTTTCAAAATTATATTATCTTTTTCACTTAATACACTCTAGAATGCTTTTCTGCTTTAAACAAGAATTTTAAATTGCTTTTATTATTGTAAGCATCCCTTTTATTAATGTTGCCTTGATTGGCGTTTGGTTTCAACACTTGGTTTTGGTCTTTCTGATAAACTAAATCGCAGTTGATATTGATTACTTTTCTTCAAAAGATTGCTTTGCTTACTTCTCTCCAAGAGATTGCTTTTTTTTTTGGAAGATTTACATACATACCACATTCTTATGTATTTACATATCTAACGCCTAAATTTCAATTTCTACGTTTATTCAACCTTATGTTATTTATGCATGGAAATGTGTATTTTACTTCTTAAAAGTTATAATAGAATTTTTATGTGATATAAAAGTTTTTGGCGGTAGAAATGTAAAATACAAAGTTTGGGTGTTGGATATGTGAATGCATAGGAATTGGGTGGTATGTATGTAAAGGCCCCTTTTTTTACTTGTTTGGAATATTTATTGAAGTTCTTCATTTAGATTTTGGAGACTGGGTTTTTTAGGTATAGTGGTATCACAGAGGAGATGCTTATTGATGTTACGACAACGTTGGAGGATGTTCAGGTGCATCTAATTTTGTTTTCTTTTTTAATTTCCCTCGCCCATTGTTCGGACGATCAGAAACCTATTTCTATGTTCTTGAGTAACTTTGTGATTACACTTGTTATTGTTTTCAGAATGTTTTTCTGAAACATGTCTACAAGGAAACAATTCTAGTTGGGCACTCCCTGGAGAATGACCTTTCAGCACTGAAGATTTCTCATAATTTAATAATTGACACTGCTATTTTATACAAGCACACACGTTCTGGAACCCGGAAACCAGCATTACGAGTTTTATCATTGAAGTTTCTCGCTCGGAAGATACAAGTTCCAGGAGAAGGGCATGACAGTGTTGAAGATGCAAGAGCTGCAATGGATTTGGTTCTTTTGAAGATTAAAAATGGTAATTGATTAAAAACTTTGACATTTACATACATACCACCCGATTCTTATGCATCTACCTATCTAACACATAAACTTTGCTTTTCATTTTAAAAAATGCCACTATTTTAACTTTTTAAAAGTAAAATACACCTTTTCATGGTATAAGGTGGAATATATGTAAAAAAAATGATGTTTAGGTCTTAGATATGTAAGACCGCAGGCATTGAGTGGTTTGTATGTAAGTCTTCCTTATTTTAATCTTTGACCACATTTTATTTCTGCCAAGCTGTTTGCCAGAATACAGAACTTATCTTTGCAAGATGTTTTCTTTTGTCACATATTTACATTTCATCAATGTATAATTTGCTCACTAGATCCTATCTTTGATGCGTGCTAGAAAATTTGCGGCGGTAGAGTAACTAATTATCGTCTTAGCGTTGTACGAGAATTCAACAAACACACAGATAAAAGAGAAACATAAAGTAGTGACACCATAGGTTTTTATGTGGAAAACCCATAAAGGGAAAAATCACAGGGCCTGAACTAGTTGCGAAAATTCACTTTTGATTGATGATTACAGAAATCTCTCGTCCCACAGACAAGAAATGGTAACTATATTTTTCAGATTACAGAGTTGACTGACGACGTTTGGTTGGTGGTGATTGATGTGGTGGACGGTAGTCGACGGAGGTCGGCGAGGGTCGACGACTGTTGACAGTAATCGACGATCAACGGTGGTCGATGGAGGTTGGCTGTGATTGATGACGATCAACGGTGGTCGACGACGGTCGGCGGTTGACGGTGATGCTGAGCTGCGACTTCTCCTTAAGGTCTCAGACACGCACTATAGGCTTCAGCTTCTCCTTATGAGGGGTTGAGCTCTATTTATAGTGTGCTGAGTGCAATTAATGTAGGAATATAAACCAATTTTGATCGGACGGTCTGAAGAGTTTCCATCAATCAAACAACGTTTAATGGACATTTAGATGTCTTAATGATGCCGGAATTGAGTGATCTTGGACTTGTTGGAATCGTCTTGTCGAGATGCTCAATTTGACTATGAAGTTGCTAGATTCGACATTCGTTTGATCTCCCAAATGTGTCTGGAAACCATCCAATTGTGATTCAATGACTTGATCTGTGATTGATTTGACTCGAATTGGGCTAGTATTTATATCACTAGGTCCGTCTCATCGAATTAGTCAGTTTGATTATAAGCTTGCTGAAATCAGAGTTCTGGATAATTTTTTTTCAAAATTTGAACTTTTCTTGCTCAAAATATTGTCTCGAGATCTGTGTCAGCTGATGAAAATTTATTGGTGGTGTATTAGTTGCCCACTATTTTTTGAAAAAACCACAATTTCATTGTCCAAAAAATATCAAGATTTGTATATACATATATTATTTTATTATGCGATGCTTGGACATTTTTCCAAATGCTCTCATAAGATTTTATTTGCTCTGACAGTTTTGTTATTGATTTGGTAATAAATGCTCTCATAAGCTTTTATCTGCTTTGATAATCTGTATACGTGATAAGTATACATAACCTAGCTTTGACATAGGTAGTGAGAAAGCCAAAAGACGGGAATCCGAATAGCAGGAAGGCAAAGCGGGATTGCCGGCTGGGAAGTAGAGGCACAGGTTGGAGGGGAGCCGAATGGTTATTTTAAATATTTTAATAATGAGCATTTTTTACTCTATAAATAGGGGTGAAGGAGAAAGTATTGGTGGAGATCTCAGCCGATCCAGGATTTCCCAGAAGAAGAAAATCATCCCGCATAACAATGAAGAGTTGCAGTGCAGAGTTGCGGCGAAGAGTTGCGGCGAAGAGTTGAGGCGTAGAGTTGAGGTGAAGCATTGTTGTGAACCGTTGCGGTGAAGCAGTGCCGCGAAGCGTTGTTGTGAAACGTTGTAGACATGACAACAACTGGAGAACTTCGTTTTGCTGAGAACCATAGGCAAAGTCAGAACCCGGAGGATGTTGCATCAATTTTGACGGAGATCGACTTGATCTTTTTTTCGAAAGAAGTATTACTTCCCGAATGATATGCTGGTGAAATTGTCGATTTTAACTGGTCGCGCGTATTCTTCCCGATACGTCGCCATTCATGAGACAGCCTAGAGAGCTGACCTACGATTTTCGCTGTCACCTGAGTTTATTGAAATTATGAAGGCGTTCGGGGTTTGTGTTGCTCAGTTGTGTGGTGAAAATCATTATTGGGTTGACTGCTTTCTTCAGGAGTCGTGGGTTGACGTCAACACCGATAACTTTTGGTACTGCTTTGTGGGGTTTTTACTGATACGCTTGAGCATGCGATGTTTAAGTATAAAACGTTGAACTTTCGTCTAAAGGAATCGATAAGACAATGGTTCGTAAGATTCTTCTTTGCACAGAATGATTGGAGACTCCGCGAGAGGTCAGGACGGTTCCAATAGTTGTCTGTCTCTTCTCAGACTACTGAGGAGAGAATATTGCAGATGTTGGGATTTCATGACTTTAAGGAGATGTTTGAGACAATATATTTATGAATTTGTGAGTGAAGAATCATTGTTCAAGGTCAAGCTTTCTTTTCATCCTGAATGGTCCACGTCTGTAGTATTAAAGAAATCTAAGAAGGGATCTTCCGAGCCGGCCCCCGTAGTTTCCTCAAAACGGCTCTCAACGAACAGTGATTCTGAAGTATTGCTTGAGAAAAAAACAAAAGAAGGCCGAGAGTTTTGTAAGTTTCTATTATTTTCTACTACTGTATAATTATTTGATTTTTCTGACCCAGATTTCTTTTCTTTTTTTTTTGAGGGATAACATGGTGAAAAGCCAGAAGGGGCTTGGACTGACTCTGAGAAATTAGAACTCCAAATTTATTAAGATCAAATATTTTCAAGATGAGTACAAACGTCTTTATGAATTTGAGGTTGAAAGAGTCATAACTCTAGAATCACAATTGAAAGAGTGCATGTCAGAACTATCAACAATAACAACTTCCCTCTCGTTGCAGCTTCAGGGTCTGGAGAGAACTCAAGAGGAGTTGGTGGAAGCACGAGCCGACCTTAGTGAAAGTAATAGGCTTGTGAAAGCCCTTGAGTTGATGATGATAATCCAGGAGGAAGAGATCCGACTTTTGAAGTCTACGAAAGATTCTTGAAGTATTCAACATGTCGAGACCATGGTCTATAGCCGTGGATCGTGGTTGAGACCAATTTTGATCGGACTATCATTGAGATCAAGTCTACGAAAGATGTTGCAGAGATTAGTCACAAAGCTCGTGATCAATGTCGGAATCCGAGGAAGCATTCTCTGAAGCTTGGTTAGGAGTGAGCCCCTCCATGGTAACTTCGGATCGACGTTACGCCGCTCGACTCTTCTTCAGAAAACCCTGGATGAATTTTTATTCGTTAAACCACTGCTTCTTTACGTCAACATCAAGTACACGATCACGAGCTTTTAAGACATGGTTTCAAATGATAGTCTTGAATTCAAGTGAATTTTTTAAGTCTTCAACCGCTTTGCGACTAACCTCTGCAACATCATCTTTCGTAGACTTCAAAAGTCGGATTTCTTTCTCTTGGACTCCCACCGTCGATCCGAGAATTTTCACGCGCTTATTACTTTCACTAAAGTCGGCTCGTGCTTCCACCAACCCCTCTCGTGTTCTCTCCAGATTCTGAAGCTGCAACGAGAGGGAAGTTACCATTTTTGATAGTTCTATTCTACACTCTGTCAATTGTGATACCAGAGTTGTGACTCTTTCAACCACAGATTCATATCAACGCTTGTACTCGCCTTGGAAATATTTAATCTTAACAAATTCAGAGTTCCAATTTCTCAGATCCAGTCCAAGCTTTTTTTGGCTTTTCACTGTATTATCCATCTAAAAAAATAGAAAAAATCTGGGTTAGAAAGATAGAATGATTATACACTAGCATAAAATAATAGAAACTTGTAAAACTCTGGACCTCGAGGAGCCCAGTACATTCATGAGACAAGACATTTTCAGGAACATGAATAATCAGAGGGCTTAACAGGTGCTCCTGTGATACTTTAACTTTCTTTTATTTTTTCTATGGCAGTACTTCACATTCATTGTTCTTTGGGAGCCGCTTTGAGGAAACTACAAGGAGCCCAATAGAAACTTACAAAACTCTCGACCTCGAGAGGCCCAATACATTCATGAGACAGGACATTTTCAGGAATATGAATAATCAGAGGACTTGACAGGTGCTCCTGTGATACTTTAACCTTCTTTTATTTTTTCTGAGGCAGTACTTCACATTCATTGTTCGTTGGGAGTCGCTTTGAGGATACTACAGGGGCTGGCTCAGAAGGTCCGTTCTTAGATTTTATTAATACTACAACCGTGGACCGTTTAGGATGAAAATAAAAGTTGACTTTGGACAATAATTCTTCACTCACAAATTCATAAATATATTGTGTTTCAAACAACATCTCCTTAAAGTCACGAAATCCTAGCATCTGCATTATTCTCTCCTCAGTAGTCTGAAGAGAGACAAACTACTATTGGAACCTTTCCGCCTCTCTCGGATCCCACAATCGTTCTGTGCAAAGAAGAATCTCACGGACTATTGTCTTTTTTATTTTTTTAGGCGAAAGTCCAACGTCTTATGCTTAAACATCACACGATCATGTGTATCAATAAAGAACACACAAATCCGTGCCAAAAGTGTCGATGTTAACGTCAACCCACAACTCCTGAAGAAAGCAGTAAACCCAATATGACTGTCACCACCCGATAAGATAACTCAACAATGCAAACCCGAACGCTTTCATAATTTCAATAAACTCAGGTGCCGACGGAAATCGTATGCTAACTCTCATGGCTGCATCATGAATGAAGATGTACGCAGAAGGAGGAGAATACGAGCGATCAGTTAAAGTCGGCAATTTCACGGTCATATCATTCGGGAAGTAACACTTCTTTTGGAAAAAGATCAAGCCGCTTTCTGTCAAAATTGATGTTGCATCCTCTGGGTGCTAACTTTTCCTCTGGTTATCAGGATAACGAGGTTCTCCAGTTGTCGTCATTTCCGCAACGCTTCACAGCAACACTTCACAACAACGCTTCGCAACAACGCTTCACAATAACTCTTCACTTCAGCTCTGCGCCGTAACTCTTTGTCTTAACTCTGCGCCGCAACTCTTCGCTGCAATATCTTGCCGCAACTCTTCACCGCTATACATGATGATTTTCTTTTTCTGGAAAATCTTGGATCTGCTAAGGACTCCACCTGTACCCTCTCTTTCAGACCCCTATTTATAGGGTGAAAAAGGATTAAAGTTATTAAATGCTCATTATTAAAATATTTAAAATAATCATTCGACTCCCTTCTACCCCGCGCCTCTGCTTCCCAACCTGCCGATCCCGCTTTGCCTTCCTGTTGTTCAAATTCCCGTCTTTTGGTGTTCCCGCTACCTGTCCCAAATTTAAGTTATGTATAGTTATCACGTATACTGATTATCAAAACAGATAAAAGCTTATGGGAGCATCTATTACCAAATCAATAAGAAAAATGTCAGAACAAATAAAAGCTTACGAGAGCATTTGAAAAATTGTGCAAGCATTGCGTAAAAAAATTATGTATATATATATATATATGGACGAATTTTTTTTATAGGGGGCAAATGATATGCCTCCAATAAATTTTCATCATTTGAAACGGACCTCCAGACAATATTTTGTGTAAGAAACATTCAAATATAGATAAAAAGTCATTCATAGTTCTGATTTCAACAAACTTATAGTCAAACCAACCTACTCGTTGAGATAGACCTAATGATATAAATGCTAGCCCAATCCGAGCCAAATCAAGCCCAGATTAAGTCTTTGAACTATACTTGAAAGATTTTCAGACACATTTGGGAGGTGAAACAAATGCTGAATCTAGCTAGTTCATAGTCAAATCGAACGTCTCGACAAGACAAATCCAACGAGCCCAAGATCACTTAATTCCGTCATCATTAAAACATTCAAATGTCCACTAAATGCTGTCTGATTGAAGGATGCTCTTCGGACCGTTCGATCAAAAATGGTTCATATTCCTATATTAATTACACTCAGAATGCTATAAATAGAGTTCCACCCTTTTTATGAGGAGAAACTGAAGCCCATAAAGAGAGAGAGTGCCTGAGACTTTGAGGAGAAGCTGCAGCTCAGCATCACCGCTGATCGTCGTTGACTACTATCAACTGTCGTCGACCACTTCTGACCACTGTCGACCACTTCCGGACGTCGTCGACTACCTCTGATCACCATCGACCACTGTTGATCGCCATCAATAACCGCCAACTTCATTCAACCACCACCGACTGTCGACTGCTGTCAACTGCCGTCGACCCTCGCCGATCTCCGTCAACCACCATCCATCATCGTCAATCACCACCAATCAGACGCTGACAGTCGACGCTGTAATTTGAAAAATATGGTTACCCTTTCCTTTATGTGGGACAAGAAATTTTTGTAATCATCAATCAATAGTGAATTTTCGCAATTGGATTAGTCTCCGTGGGTTTTCCCTTTACGGGTTTTTCTTGTAAAAATCTTTGGTGTCACTACTGTATGTTCTTTTTTATCCGTGTTTGCGTTGAATTCTCGTACAATGCTAAAACGATAATTCGTTATTCTACCGCCGCGAATTTTCTAGCACGCATCAATCTTTAATTTCTATTATGTAATTCTTAGCTCCATCTAATCCCATTAATTTCTCCCTTAGGACCTGAATTTGGATCACGCTCCTCACTGATACGATGCAAATTAGTCTCAATTTTGCACGAATGTGGCAGAAAATGCTCCCTTGTAGATGATTCATCCATTTTAAGAAGATTTTCGGATGAATCTTCCAACGTGATTCCTGTTTATTCGGATGAAGAAGCCCTTTCAAAAGCCATAAAAGAGGTAAAATTTTTAACTGCCGTTGACATTAATAACTTTATTTGAATTGGAAATATTTATTTTTTGAAAGTAGTTTTTTACTTTTTGAAGGTAAAGAATGAAAATACAATCTTTGTTTGGACTCGATTTTCAAGATTACTTTCGTATTGGAAGATGCAAACACAGAATATAGAGACGTTGAAGTATCGGGTGGCTGAAATGGTTTCAATGTTGACGTGTGATAGTAAATTGGCTAGGCAAGAAATAAGCCATCTGAACTCAAGTTCAGAATTGAAAGAAATTTTATCTGAAATGGATGAAAGGATTCAAAAGCTATACAATGCGTTGGCAGGGAATACTTTATTTATTGTATCCACTGGCCATGGAGATATTGGGATTGTTCAGAGGTAACTATTCTTCTCCCATTTATTTGGAGTTGTCTTCATCAATCCTTGTCCATTCATTCTTTTTGTGTGGTGCGTGAGATGTTCTCTAGTTTACGGCTGCTTCTTTTTTGCACAAGTTTCAACTGTCATGATTAATCCTTTTATTTTTTATTTTGTTGAAGTGAAACTTTGCACATTATTGATGTTTTTTTCCGTCCGTTATATTTGCTTCAACAATTTTCTGTAATTTTCCGCTATCTTATTTTAATATCTGTCACTCCCATAATCTCTGCTATATAGTATTTTCTAACTCAATATGATGCTATGCAACTAACTGTTGTTTTTGGTCATGAGTCTATTTTGTGTTTATATTTGAATTAATTATTAGTGTGTTAAATATTAGTTAGTGTTAATTTGATATTTTTATTTGTTTAAGAGTAGTTCTATAAACTTTATAAGTTCTAATTTTATATATGCTCATAAATCCAATACGTTGGTTACGCATCTGGCGTATGCCGATGACATGATTTTGTTTTCTAATGCTAGCAAAAAAGTTGTAAGGAAAATACCCCGTTTAATGGAAGATCTCCAATCTGTTTCTGGGCTCCTTTTTAGTGCAAATAAATGCAACTTATACATGGGGAACACAGTCAATCGATCAAATGCGTGCTGGATTGTTAACTTTACTGGCTTCTCTCTTTCAACTTTTCCTCTTAAATATATGAGGGTCTTTTTTACTTAAGGGCAAGAAAAGGCGGATTTAGTTTGATGAGGTGGTCGAAAATGTGCGGAAAAAAATTTTGTATTAGAAAAATAACTTCCTCTTTTTTGGGGGTAGAATTACTTTTCTCAGGAGTATTTTGCATTCTCTTTCTTTATATACCCTTTAAGTTTTCCAACTTAAGAATAGTACCCTATTGAGCCTCGAAAGATGTTTTAACAAGTTATTATGGGTGGAGAATCATTCAGGTAGAAGATGGATGCCTTGGAAAAATATTTGCAAACCAATTTATGCTGGCGGTTTGGGACAAGTTAGATGCTCCTTATGTCCGTTGTGATGGTTCCTGATAGCATGTCTGTTTGCTGCCCCCTGTTTATTTTTATGTATTTCGGTGGAATGGTTTTGCCCCTGTTTTGCCAAACAATTTGGATGGGCTATATGGCCTTTTCTATGGTATTCAGGTCTCCGATCCTCCACTTTCTGTATTCATACTTCGGTATTGGGATGGTTTGTGTTATTTCTGTCTGCTGCTTAGGGGCTGGGGATATGGATGCCCTTGGGCTGTTCTTTATCGTGAATACCTTTGTGTGGTTCCTCTTCCTTGCTTGCGACTATGTGGTGGTTTACTACTCACCTGCTGTACTGTTACTACGCCATGCTCGGTTTGGCATTTCTTGCTCCTTTAGCAAAACCTATTTCTGGACGAAGGCTCCCCTCATTTTCCTATTCCTTTTGTGGAATTTCTTTCCTATTGTGTTCCTCTGTTTGATCTATTGCAGGAGCTCTCGTATGCTTTCTTCTGGACTGCAAAGATTATAGTGTGGTCTTGGCCTCCTCGGTTTACTGTCTTCCATGATGGAAAGGGATGTGGTTTCTCTCTTTTGTTTCTGTGTTTTGATCTCTGCAGGATTCTCATGTGGCTTGCTCTACACATGACTTATTTGGGTCTCAACTGGATGCTGATGCCGTCTCTTCAAACTTAACGAATCACTCGAGCTCTTTCTTCGGTTTTTTGGTTGTTTTTGGTATACTGGATCTCATGTATTTTGGGTACACAATACCTTTCATCACTTTTCTTTCATTTTTTGGCGTGGAGTTGTAATGTGGATAGAGGAACCCCTAGGACCCTCCTTTTGTTTTTAGATGAGGATCCTCCTTCCCTCTCTCACTTTTGTACCTTCTTTTTATATTACACATAGGGAGCCACGTGTTGCTCGAAAAGTGTTAAAAAGGTCCACCAACTCTTGCTATGGGGTCATTGTAGCCCTTGAGTTTATAAAAATATCAATTTAGAATATATATATGGCTTAGTGTCTTACAATTTCATATTAGAGTTGAAATTAAGAAAGGCTTTCTTCTGGCTTCCTCTCTAGATTCTCTACCATATAGGATTTTAACATATTTTTTTTTTCTCAAACCCTATGCATCTCTCCCTTTGCGGCATGTCATTTTATCTTCTCAATCTATTTTGGCTTTTTACCTCGGTGATTCTCCTTCCTTGGATATTGAGGACTCTCCTTCTCAAATATCAATCATTAAATGTCCACATTCATTATAGTTTTGCAACCAGCCCTCCATTAGTTTGATATCAGAGCCGAAGTTCTTAAAGCTTTCTTCACATATGTTCAGAGTCCTAATGATCTTTTTTCCGTATTGGATAATCCCATCCCACAACCTCTTTCATCAAGTCCGACTGTCACTCACATCATGCTCTTGGTCATAAAGCCATGATTGGTAATGAGATTGCAATCGCAATTGAGAGCTGGAGCACAAAGCAATTGTTATCTATTATGCAATGTCTCACCTACAATCTACATTACCGTCATCCACAACTTTGAGCTTGTTATTGATGAGCTTCACTATGCAGCTATTGGCCACTTTTGTCCTGTGAATCAGTCTCTTTTATAGCCTCTCTATTACAATCCAAAACATGATACTTATGTTTCTAGCAATCATGCATGCCGCTACACCGCTTTAATCACTTGTGTTCCGCACACTCCTAGAATATGTGATATGATCATTAGCCTATAGTTTCGAACTGCATAACATGTTTACCACATCATTCCTTCTCCTGCTCACAAATTCATGACGTAACTGATGTTCAGCAATACCATCACTAATGCTGTATGCTAATCATGTATCTTATCCTCTATTCTCTTAGAACTTTTATATCGTTGTTTCTTCTCAAACACGTACTTTTGTCTGTAAAACTCTGTTTGTGTACAAATAATAGTAAGTAAAATTTTCATCTAATCGACGTCCACGACCTACTTAGATCCAAATTAAGTTGAATTGTTAATCCAACTCATTTAATCATAATTTTGCACCGCACCCCAGCTGACTCCCTTGGGTCAACAGAGATGTAACAGAGGATGACGGTTAAGTAAGCTTTATTTTTACTAACATTTATCTTGACTTATATAAATCATTTCAAGAAAATCATTACACTTTAATTCGTCCAATATTCATTCATATCAGACATTCATAGTAAAACTTATAAAATAACCTAAATAATATACAGAGCTACTAAAATATGGAAATGTTAAATCATATGTACATGAAAATCTACTATAATCGCAAAAAAAAATTACATGCAGAAGTTATACAGAAGACAAACCACCTAAATAGTGGTCCACCTATTTCTTACACCCCCCTGAAAAATAACATAATAATATGGGACAAGTTACGAACTTAGTGATATAAATAATATTAAAGAATCAATATTTGAGAGAGAAATAATATGCATGTTGGTCAATTGCTATCATGAGTAACAACAATAGAAATAAAAAGATATGCTTAAAAGTACAAAAAATATTAGTAAAAGTAGTACATATAGTAGTGGGCATAAATAAATAAAGTGGCTACTGACAATTCTCTTTTTCACTATATTATGCAATGCCTTGCGTGCAATTGTCTTGCATTTTTATTCTTATTCTCGTCTTTCTCTTTTTTCGAAATGTCATGTTATATCTGCGTAGGCTTTGACTACATCTAATTTCATTAGGTCATCACTTTGCTCGTCGACTATGATAACTACTTATAGATATTGCTTATCCCAACATCACATTTATTAATGACACCTGATACTACATGGTTTGTTGCACTCTTAATACCAAGAGTCGGGAATTCAATTATTTCCCTACCAAGGCTCATTTTGTTAAAAATTGAGGTTCTCTATTTAAGGCATCATTAATGTTGTTTATCAATCATAAAACATTAGGCATTTTTTAATTAATTTTATATGCTATTATCATTTTCATTTACATATGCATTTATTTATGAATCGGAATGTATCTGTAAGAATAGTCCCATTTCAGTTACTTGGAGGAGAAGAAATGAAGAGCCAGAAGAGGAAATGAGGAAGTTGAAGAAGTGAAAGTGAGGAGCTGAGAAACTGAATAGAGGGAAGAGGAAACGAAGGGGTCGGGGTAGGAAACCAAAAAGGTAAATTCACCCTATAAAATGTCGTATGAGGGAGACAAGAACTTACTGGGAGAGTTGATCAGCGAGTATAAGAAACGACAGTCACAAGCTAGGGTTTCCTTGTAGTCAAAGGCAGGGTAGACGGACGACGACGTCTCTGTCGACCATGGAGGAGGAAGAGGGAAGCTGCGGTGCCGAGTCGCTGCTTTGTTATGTCAAGCGACGACTAGAGGCAGAGGAAGGAAGATGAAATGCGATGTGGATTCTGCATGCAATGGAAGAAAAGGCTTTCCCATGCGCTGAGGATTCACATGCGTTGCTACCATACGAATGAGAGAGCAGGAGGCATTGACGTTGAGATCTCTATCTGGATGGAGCTGAGCATAGAGGAAGAAGTGAGCCGCACGTCTACATTTTAGGGCTTGATTGAAAGAGAGATAAGGTTTTAATATTTTAGTGAAGTTATTTAATATTTTAGTCCAAGAGTAATTCAATATGTATATATGTTTGTATGTATTGTGAGCTTGTAAATTATATTAATAGAAATTTTTTGTGAATTAAAACTCTAGGTTTATAACTTCAGTTGGAGGGGAAGGGGTGAAGTGTGCAAGCTAGAGGAGGAAGATTGACCCATGCAAATTTCAGTAAGGAAAAGTTTAAATAATGAATTTAATTCGAATTTCCCAGTGTAAAATTATGGAAACTTAATACTTAAGAATATTGAATATTGTATAAGAATATTGACTGCTATGTAATTGAGAATGAAATATTCATTATTAGAAGGTGATATTTTTATAGTATGCTCGTATGTGCATGCTTAGTTATGATAGAGTCGCCTTTTTATGGTGCTAGCAGAGAAACACTAAGGTATTTGTGC